ATTTGATCCAGTAGTTATTGAAAAATAATTTCTTTTTTTAAAAAAAAGTATGTTTTTCTTTTACAAGAGATATAATACTTTGAACGAATATTTCTCGGCGACTACCTGATCAAATTCGATGAAAATTTTCTAAATTAAAAAGAAAAATTTTATCGAGTTTGGCCATGTGGCTGTCGAGAAATTATTGACTATGTTTTTAAAAAAATTTGAACGTATGTTTTGAATAAATATTTCTCAATAATTACTTTATAAAATTCGATGAAAATTTTTTCATTTTATTTTACAATTCTGTAGAATTAAAATAAAAAAAATTTCATCAAATTTGGTTTAGTAGGTATTGAGAAATTTCATTTAAGCATTAAAAATTTTATATGTTCGTTAAAAAAAAAATGCAATTTTATATTTACACTGTAAACCAATACCTACTGTACCAAATTTGATGAAAATTTTTTATTTTAATTCTACAAATTGTAATATCAAAATAAAAAAATTTTCATCGAAATTTATAAAGTAATTATTGAGAAATATTTATCAGGTAGTCGCCGAGAAATATTCGGTCAAATTTTATATCTTTTGTAAAAGAAAAAACATACATTTTTTATTAATAAAGTAATTATTTCTCAATACCCACTGGGTCAAATTTGATAATTTTTTTTTATTTTAATTATACAAATCTATAGAATTAAAATAAAAAAATTTTCATCGAATTTAATCCAGTAGTTATCGAGATATTTTCGTTTAAAAAATAAGATAGTAAAAATTATCAAGGATCGTCACATGCTTTTTACATGGTACAGCCAATCAAAATCGAGGATATGCCGTGACAATTTTGTTGCGGCAGCTATATGGTTAATGCAAAAATCCGCTGCATCAAATTCGACGTCATGAGGCCTAAAACGTGACCAAGACCCCGTCTCGAAGCCTCTACGAAGTCGTTTCCACGAAGCCCAAGACCACGGTAAAAAAAAACAAAAAAAGGAGAGACGAAACCATGTGACGCTAATTGTCACATGGTACGATATATAAAAACCAATAAGTAATAGCAAGTTATAATTAGCATCACGTGGTTTCGTCAGGCATCACTAGTAGGGTTGGGGCACGGCAAGTTTTTGGGGCATGTCTTTGCGAAGGGTAGTAGGCTTTAATTCTAATTGGTAATTTGATAATTGGCCAATTATATAATAGCTCCATATCACATGATAGGGCATGCCTTTTGATCAAAGGACATGCCTCTCAACCCATGCCCCCAACCCTAATCACTAGCCCATCTGTATGTAAACAAAGAACTAAGCAAAGCCGAAAGTGGCATGCTGTGGCTTGCCGGGCTTAGATTAAAAAGTTTTTTTCTTTTCTTTTGCCCCCCCGCATGTAAAAATTCGGCTTGTTTTGCCCTCTAATAAAGAACAATAGATTGTGTTGATATTTGACAAAGTCGTTCGTTTTAGTCCAAACCTTATACCCGATACGTCTTACCTTGCCAAATCTAACTGCCTATACATATCGAGTATACAGTATAGGGTGGTTTGTTGGTTGTTTTGTATAGGTTTGGTGGTAGCCTGTGTTGCCACCCAATTGCCTCCAACAATTTAAACCTGATCCGCTTGACGGATCCGGATCGAATCTTGTGGAACACTACTCGAAAGATATATTACTAACAAAGTTAGCCGGAATTAGCTATAAATGCTGGCTTATTTGGTCGATGTCAGGGGTACCGAAAAATTGATTGAAATAACAAAATTAAATTTTATTAAACGCATAGAAAATTCCAATCAATTTAAATTAGCATAAAAATTAAAAAAAACCGAATCCAATTAATGACTTAATATTAAAATTAATGAAATTAATTTTCAAGTTCTTTAGAGATTTTGTCCAGTACAAAATGTAATTGAAAGCCGATAATAGGTTTTCTCTTAGCGGTACTCATATTATTACATTTTGCAAATCGAAGTAAAAATTGCAATTAAGGGATTAATTGTGACTGCGCTACCAATCAATTGAGTTCATATAATTGCAATTAATTGTCTCCACTATCAATTACTCGGTAAGCCTGTTCAGTATTATGTTCTTTTGGAAAAATGACTTTCGGAATTTCGTGGTAAAACCGATTTGCTTTATATTAAAATATAACACTGAAGTTAAATATTTTGTAAGTTATTAACTACTAGCTGTTACTTATTTATTTCTTATCAGTAAATGAGCGATCATTTATCAAATTAACTAAGTGCTTGAGTTGTTTAAGGGGAGGTAAAATAAAGTATGCTATATCATATTGTAGTGTAATCTTAGTGTAATTTTCAAATTTTTATTGATTTATATTATACTTAATTTAGCAAAACAGGTAGAGTTTTGAATTAATGATGATGAGAAATTGGTTGGTAATTTATTTTGTAGTCTTATTTGTAGTGTTATATTAATACAAATTTTTTGGACGAGATTTTTACACCTCAGGTTTGTATAAAATTTTATTATATTACAATTAAGAAGCTAACTTGTTTTTTATTTAATTCATTTTATTTCTATTTAACTATTCTATATTGTCACTAATTATAATGCATTCTATATTACTGCATATTTTTAAAAAATAATATTTTAAAGTATAATGATTATATGTTTTTTATTTGGCAAAAAATGTTTCTGTAAAGTACGTACAAACTTTTTACAAAATAGATGCCAAAAAGACAATTAAATAATAAAAAAAATGCCAAGCGTCCCACAAAATTCGAAGAAGCGCTCTAAGGCATTAAATTAGTTGCTATTTTTCTCTCGAAAATTACACACTGTTTATTTAATGCTTTAAGCTCTCCGCATTAGTGCGATGCTTTATTTTGTTAACAGTATAAAATTGATAAAAACAGTTACCATAAATGTGCGTATACAAGACCGGGTCTAGTACATTCCACCAATTTTAAAACTTTAATAAATCCGGGTCTGTTATATAGACGTTAGCCTGATTATTGGGTAACTTTTATGCGAAGGAAATCCCGTAAATAAGACTCGGGTCTGATACATTCTGCAAATTTTAAAACTTTAATAGACCCATGGGTCTGTTGTACAGACATTAGAATAATTATTGGGGAAAGCTTTTATTTGAAAGAAATCCCGTACGTACGTAAATGTGCGTATACAAGACCCGGGTCTGATTCATGGTAGGTTTACTACTTCGGGGGATCTTGTATATGCACATTTACTGTATGTAATGTACAGCCAGACCCAAAATTCAACCCTTATAAATGCACGCTCTACAAAAAGCCCCTCTAAATTCAACTCCACCAAATGCACGCTTTATTAAATGCATGTTTCACTTTGGGCCAACTAATATAATTTTTACATATGGTTCCATCAAAATGCATATCCCTTTTAACACCAAAACAAAAGATTAATTAACTTAGTACAAAATGACCGTTAAATTAGTACACAAACTAACAGACACTTTGTACGAAATTGAATGTCACTTTGTAATAAATTAATGTTAAAAGGGATAAAAATTGTTAAGCGTTCTAAAATTATAAATAAAACCTTTCTTCATGGCAACGAGGAAATATATCATTCAGTCCCTCCTATTCGAATACATTTAGTAATTAATAAAAATGATAATGAAATATATTTTTTTACTTATCCTGTTAATTTCGACAGTTTGTAAATCCTTTGTGGTGAACAACAATAATGGTCTCGTAATTCGCTCTGCAATACCAATCGATAATAAAACATATGAAAATTGGAATGGTGAAATTCATTTTTCTCCAAATGCCATTTTTTTACCGTCGACGCTTCAAGACCTTATAGATATTGTAAAATTAGCAAAGTCAAATAATAAAACTATTCGATGTGCTGCTCAAGGACATACCTTAAGTACTCTGTCTGTTACAAAAAATTATCTTGTAGTAGTTACAAATTTAACTAAAGTTACGATACAAAATGATCCAAAATACGGATGGACTGCTACTGCTGAAGCTGGTAAATTTTTATGATCATATATTCATTTATGGTAAAGATGACATACAGTATAAAAAAGTAAGCCCTTGTTTAATTAAATATAGGCATATCGTTAGCTGATTTTGAGACTGCACTCAGAAATCATGATCCACCATTAACAATTGATTCAGCTACGGTCTATAACACACTTCGAGTATCTGGTGTTATAGCAACAGGGTCACATGGTCCAATAACTAATTCGAGTATCATGCCAGATCAACTTTGCTCGATGAAAATCGTCACTGTTTCCGGCGAAGTACTTGAATTTAGTAAAGAAATAAGCGAAACAGATTTTAATGCTGCGAAACTTAATTTAGGTAACTAAGATTTTACCTTTAATTATTCATTTTTTCCTTCATTATCTAACTTCATTATTGTTTAGGTTTGCTTGGTATAATATATTCGGTGACCTTCCGTGTACAACCGATGTACAATCTTCGTATGAATGACACGTTTTATTCAATAAACGAATGGCTTAATCCAAAGAATCTCAAAAACCTTTTAGATTCATCTGATGGTGTCGAATTTTATTATTGGCCATTCAATGGATTCAATCAAAATGATCCGAAACCTCTTGACCCTAATAGAGATCAAATTTGGGTTAAGACTTTTGTACGAACTGATGAACCTGTGAGTTTCACACAACAACAGCTCGAACAATCTCTGCCAAATAAAACACAAGCTGCTATTCAACAGTATGAGTTCAGAAAAACTCTCATACAAAATCCTGAGAAAACTCCGAATGTTAGTGCCACGTTATGGAATGGTTTTACTAGTTCTGGTAATACTAGTTTTGTATATCAGGTGCCTGACGCACTGCATTATACAGTTAGCGAAGAACACGTCAAGCTTGAAGACATAATGGAAATTGCATTCAAAGCTGATCCGGATCTTTCCAATGTCGTGGCTGAATATTTTTTCATAATGAAAACAGTAAGCTTATACTGTATCTAATATTCGGTTTCTAATATTTCGTTAACTTTATTGCTCATTATAATAACCTTATTAAATTTGTAGCTCTATGACTTTGCTGTAAAAGGAAAATTTCCATTAAATATATTTGCAGATTTTAGAATCATAAAATCAACTAAAACTTTGTTATCTAATACATTCGATAAAGATCCAGAGGCATTGTACTGTCACATAGATTTCGTAACAGTTCTTGATACACCTAGCTGGAAAGAATTTGCGCAATTAATAGCGCAGCGAGCATTTGACCAGTACAAAGCAAAGTAAGGATTTTTTTATTTCTTTAACAAATTGTATTAATTCGCTAATTAACATAAAATTTCTTAACAATAGACCTCATTGGGCGAAGGAATGGGAGTTTATTCCGAACGTGGATTCTTATCTTGCTAATGCCTTATCGGATGAAATTAAACAATTTGAGAAAGTACGTACAAAATACGACCCTGATAAAATTTTCTTTGATAATAAGTCTTTGCAGGATATATTTGGTATAGCTTTAGGTTCACAAAGTGGTGAAGACTCAAAATAAAAAGAAATATTATTGATGATACTAAGATTAATTTAATATTAAGTTACGTAGCTAATCGAGTTTCATAACCCATAATATAAATTTTTGGATTAATATAGTTTTTAATTGATAAAGCTCTATAATATCGAATTCAAATTTATAAAGTCATAAAAAACAGTATTTTGTTTTAAGTTATATGCAATTCTTATATATTACAAGTACTGATCAGCAGTACAGTAGCGTGTACGAAAATAATTCCTTCCATATATGGAATGTCTGTATTAAAAGGCCCATTTTTAAAGATATGCAATTTTACCTGATCAATTTTTCATATACTCTACTCTCGTTATAGCTAGGGATGTTATAGTCCTAAAAATAACTTTTAAAGACCTGGTTCAGATAGTAGTTCTGGTTAATTATAGTCCTGGTTAAATATGGTCTGGTTAAATATAGTTCAAGTTCAAATTCGGTTAAAACCCGTTTGTATAATTTTTTGGATATTATTGATTTTGAAAGTTAATTATATTAATAAATCCGATTGCATAATATTCTATAAGTTAATTACAATAAACTCAATCGGTTATATTGTATTTTTAAACTAATATTGTGCATAAATCTCATTACAGCCCCCTTGGTTAAATAACGGTCTCAATTATGGCCCTGGTCCGGTCTGGTCCACAAATTAATAGCTAAATGTATAAACGGTCTTTTATGAACCGGACCGAACCAGAATGAACTATAATATCCCTAGTTATAGCGGATAGCAGAGTGATTCTTTAGAATATTTAAAACCATTAGTATTATAATAAGTAATACTTTAGCGGATATTTATTATAAAGGATGAAAATTTCCAGCCCGAACAATCTGTTATAATGAAGTAGAGTGTATAATAGCTGTGCGCAAGTATGAACCAGCCGTATCGACTTTTTACCATGCGTAGTTGATTGTGCGACTATTGGCTTTGTGGAATAGATATAATTTTTTTTATTACGATCTTTCATTATGTCTTTGAGGATTAGTGACTTTCAATTCATCTATTTAATAAAAATCTGCAAAAAAATGCAGAAACAAATTCGTAAATAGGAAATAATGTGTTTAGTCATAATTTTTTTAGACATAGTAACAATTTCTTTACTTTCATTATGGTCATAGATTGTCAATTTATCTTTCAGATAAAAAAATCCTCAAAAAAAAAAAAAAAAACAGAACTTATTTTATTATTACCTCGACATGCACCTTCATCTTGTATATAATTCACAGTAATAGTAACTTCAGAATCATTTTAAAAAATTTTCCGAGAATTTTGGTTAAAACCTCTATGGTGTTTACACCTATTATATATTTTCTTATATTTTTCCAAGTTTTTATAAGTTTTGTACATAAAATTTTTAATACAAATTTTTACACATTAAGGTTAGTATTAGGGTTAGCATTGGGTTTGGAAAGAGTTTTTTAGGCATAGAACATTTTTACTTAGAATACTTCATGCCGATTAATTAGCCAGTTTTTGAGAAAACATATACATAGGTGTAAAACACCATAG